ATTTCACGTTTCAATGATTTTATTGAAATTTTTGATGAACCTCCATACATTTCCTTATAACAGGACACCACAGAAACCAAGCTTGGGCTACCTGTGACTAAACTATAAACCATCATGGCGGCCGTCAAGAAGGGATCGCAGAAAGAGCTGATTGTAATCACAGGTGTTTCATATGGTATTGGCTATGCGATGACCAAATGGTTCCAGTCAAATGGACATCAGGTTATTGGATGCTCCCGTTCAGCTGATAAAATCGAACAGCTTAACAAGGACTTTTGCTCAGCCACCAAACACAAGCAATTCTTTGTGGTGGACATCACAAGTGACCCAGACGTTAGAAATTGGGCTGAGAAAGTCGTGTCGACATTTGGGTCTCCAACTTTCCTTCTCAACAATGCAGGACTCGTAAATAGAAGCGCCAGTCTTTGGGAAGTTCCAGTAGAAGAGTTTGATAAAGTAATAGACGTAAATATCAAAGGAACTACCAATGTATTGAGGCATTTTATTCCTGCTATGATAGAATCTAAAAGAGGGGTGATAGTTAACTTTACATCAGGTTGGGGTCGATCTGTGTCACCTGATGTGGCTCCTTATTGTGCAACAAAGTGGGGCCTAGAGGGGCTCTCTAAGGCCCTGGCAATGGAGCTTCCAGCCCCTCTGACATGTGTACCCCTCAATCCTGGAATCATAGACACACCAATGTTGCAAACCACCTTTGGGCCTTCAAGGGCTTCGTTATGTCAATCTCCTGAGCAATGGGCCGAAAAAGCTTGTCCATATATCTTGTCAATCGATTACAGCCATAATGGAAAAAGTGTTACAGCCTCATGATTTTTTCATATGTTTTGCAATGGATTTTGGAAATCCCAATGTTTTTTTTGCTTCATGTTGTTTGCTGCTTGTTGCTTACTATGCTTGAAATGTATTATGTATATTGACATGTAAATAATGTCAGCACCAAAGAAAGAGTACTGGRAAAATGTGCAGACAAAGTTTAGGAAAGTTCCATATTATTGTGACCTTTCCCTGTTGGTATTCTCATTGCCAATACAGGGTCTGGAAGGGGGGTCTGGACCCCAAATCACTTGCTATTTTTCCCCGAAATCCCACATCCTACAACATTTTGCCATTGATGACCATAATTGTCATATCCAAAGGCATTTGAATTTTTATTTTAGTTATGTTTTCACTTTTTCCCAAAAATCAGAAAGCAAAATCCCATCGAATTCAGCAATCCCAGAGTCACAGCCAATGCCAATCTCCTGAATCACATAGTTTCCCAAATCCTGCAATATATCTTATCCCTTTCCCTGCCCAAGAATGCCCTTTCAGACCCTACCCATAGTACATTTTGGGCTTGGTTTGCAACATGGTTCAGCTCAGTTCAGTTCAGTTCAGTTTATTTACACTTTTAACAAAAGGAGTTRCAGAATAAGAAAAGATTAATGACAAATAGAGCTATGGTACTTAATTCGTGAAATACAAACAAAATAGTTATTAACTAATAGTCGCAATTTAGTGCCTATTTAGTCGATATCACTCATCAATCTATACATGAATACACTGAGGAGACATCAAATACACAAGAAACATGTTAGTCATTTGTTCATCAATGCTATGACTATCAATGACTAACATGTTTCTTGTGTATTTGATGTCTCTTGTGTATTCATATGTAGGTTGATTCACTTGAGTGATATCGACTAAAAACGCACTAAATTGCGACTATTAGTTAATAACTATTTTGTTTTTATTTTATGGATTAAGTACCATCGCTTTATTTWAAAAAAAGACCTAATTAAAGATAGTTTTAAATAATAATGAAAAAGTGTGTAGTGGTCAAAGGAGCATAGCTTTTGAGTTGATCACTGATGGAACAAATCATTCACCACCTTTTTAGTATTAGCTGTATACTTTATGACAGTGTTGTGCAATCTAAGTGCATTACGACTGTTAACAACTACTGGCTGGCAGGAAAGGAACAACAATGTTGTATAATATAATTAAAAACAAATAAAGGCAAAAATTCCCCAGCCCAGTAAACATAATGAAAAGTTTTCTCTGGCTTGTGCTCTTCTCCTGCTAACTTATACTTATGCATTTATCAAAGTGCTATATAAAGATGTTGTTGTAGAGCACATGCAGTAAAACCATGAAATAAAAACAAAGTTGATACTGACAAATAGCACGATTTAGTGAGTAATAGTTACTATCACTCAACCAGAATATTCATCATACAAAAACAAATATACAAGAGACCATTTGTGTCTTTTGTTTAATAAATGTTCTGGTTGAATGCTAGCAAACTATTTTAGTTTTGAAGTCCAGTAACATCGACTTTAGATAATGGAAAATATCACATGAGTTACCGATGCCTTGCCGTTATTACTGGCGTTGGGAATCCAATCGAATTYAATTGAAAAAATTACGAAATTGGTTTCCATTGGTTTCGTTCGGTCGATAATCCAGGAGTAGCGCGAACCTTGGGGGCATAGCGTGCCCATGCACCCCCCCCCCCCCCCCCCCCCATCCCTTCCCCACATCCCTTCCGGGAAGCTGTTCTAATTATGGCAATAGGAAATTGACAAATCGCCCCCCCCCCCCCCCCCCCCCCACCCCAACCCTTTTTCCTCAGCGTATAGTATGTCGTATGAAAAGGCACGCGCGATTACATTACAAACTCGATACCTAGCCTCCTCCGCAGGCTACTTAGCCTGCCATACAGACGTTTTTAGTGTTGGCTCGTTCCCTCCCGCAGACGTTTTTAGTGTCGGCTCGTTCCCTTCCGCAGGGGGAACTTACTGGTGGGAGAAAAAATCTTAAAACGGGCTAAATTCAAAAAATAACCACGCAGAGCGAAAGAAGTGCTATTTCTCAATGATCGGGTAAAATTTCGAGGCATTATTTCACGTTTCAATGATTTTATTGAAATTTTTGATGAATCTCCATACATTTCCTTATAACAGGACCCCACAGAAACCAAGCTTGGGCTACCTGTGGATCGATCGATAAAAGTCAATRAGATACACAAACTAAAACTGGACGACAAACTCGATGGAGGCTGTCCATGTACAATCTTTTGTTTACGTAACTAATTCGAGTTGTATCAAAAAACAAAAATCGCACTTTAAGTTTCTAATTTAGCTCCAGTTTTTAATTATCTGCTTAGAACACTATACCAAATTAAGTTTAAAGTAAGTTGGATTAAGGCACTTACCACGAAAACCACATATGTTCAACCTCTTTCACCTCCTCCGTTTCCCGATCTTACAGATCTCGACGTGCATTTTCACCTCGTGTTTCACCAATGTCAATCATGACGAGGTCCACCAATGGCATTCGTAACACTAAATTCCGATCRTACCTAACTCACCAAAAACAAATGTACTGTGCCCATAGGCCAAGCACAAAAACGTCTGCGGGAGGGTACGAGCCGACACTAAAAACGTCTGCTGGAGGGAACGAGCCGATTTTTTCGATTCCTTTTCACTAATTTTAAAGAATTTTTAAAAGAATTTTTTTGACGTTTCACGTTTGCCGTAAACGAGAATCCTAAACTCTCGACTCAGTAAAAACGTCTGCACGGCCGGCTACAGGCCACTCCATATATTCTATATTCTCTGTTGGGAATCCCTGTATCGAATTATTGCAGAGAAGAACTAGGAACGAGAGAGGAGGTGGAGTGGGGAAGGACGAGGGAGGGAGAGAAAAAGCGAGAGGAGCAGAGCAGTAGGCATTTCCCTCTTTCTTTCTCCCTCCCCTCCCCCTCCCCCTTCGTCATTTTGTCCTCGCCACAGGAAACCCAAGGAGCAAAAAGAGCAAGGAGAGGAGRCTACTCGATACCTATCACACTAATAAGGTACAGTAAGACTCTCTCCATTAGAGCTTCTAGTGATGGATAAGATTAAGGGACATGCTTTAAGAGCCCACTCTTCCGGGACTGTTGTCTCGAAGCTTTTGCTTAACTTTTATTCTCAGTAACCCACGCGGAAAACTACCATATATTGCTTAATTCCCCACCCTTGCGCTTTTTTGGTACTTTTGAGAGCTCTGCCAGGTCTACTCCCATACTCAATACATGACAGTGAAACCACTGAAAATAGATATCACTTCTTTAGTTACGTAATCATATCAATGCAAACATGAACCAGCTAGGTATAAATTCGTTTAATACGATTTCCCTGTTACTTTATAGATACCTATCACACTAAGAAGGTACAGTAACACTCTCTCCATTAGAGCTTCTAGTGATGGATAAGATAAAGGGGCATGCTCTTTGAGCCCACTCTTCCGGGGACTGTTGCTTCGAAGCATTTCCTTTACCAAAGGTATCCTGAAGCATGGGTGTGTTGATCATCCCACCAGGGTCAAGGGGCACACAGACCATAGGAGACGGCAACTCCAAGGCCAAAGCCTTTGAGAATCCCTCGATTCCCCATTTCGTGGCGCAATATGCGGTCTCATTGGGCACTGCAAAACGTCCAAAACCAGACGAGAAATTCACTATGACTCCGCGTTTGGCTTTCATCATGTCTGGGAGAAAATGCCTAATCACGTTTGCAGATCCTTTGATGTTGATATCCACAACCTTGTCAAACTCTTCCTTTGATATTTGCCCAAATGGAACGTGCTTATTATTAAGACCAGCATTGTTTAGGACATACGAAGGGGCACCAAAGCTAGCTATGGCCTCCTTAGCCCAGTTCTTAACAGCCGAGTCATCTGTAATGTCAACAGAAAAGAACTGCTTCGGTTTMCCATCCTCGCAATAAGTTGAGTTAAATTCTTGGACTTTCTCTGCAGAACGAGCACAGCCAATGACTATATGCCCTTTGGAGCTGAACCATTTGAGCATCTGATACCCTAGGCCAGCAGAAACACCGGTTATAACGATGACCTCTCTAGACAAAGACATGTTCGAACTCACCAAATTACAACGYGAGAAAGATCAATSAGAGAAGAGAAGCGACTGGGTACGAGTCTGTTGCTAAGCCTTTTCTGATGAGCCAGCCAGAGAGGGAGCGTTGCGTGACGACATTATAAGGAAAGAAACTGATTTCTGCATCTTTACATATATATATTTATGTCTTTTGTTCCTCTGTTGTTTCGTCTCTCGAGATGAAAAGACACATATATATCTAAAGTTACAGAAATTTTGTTTTGGTTAGGTGTATCACCTATTTCAGAAATCGTTGTCGCACCAAAAGCCTCAAGCAACAAGCCAAGACCGCAGAGAACGGCCGGTACTTTTAGCTGTAATTGGTTTATTCATGGTGCATTTTCATTTATTGACTTCACAAATTGTTCCAAGCAAGGCTGCTTGAGATGATAATTAGAGCTATAGCCACTTGCATGAACCATGAATAAATGAATTATAATTAAAAGTAACGACGTTCTCTGGAGCCTTGGCTTGTTACTTGAGGCTCTTGGTGCAAGAACGATCTTGGAAATAGGTGTATATGAAAAAGTAAATAATATGGAGTAAAATATCAGAGTTTTTCCACAGGAAGCCCGTCAYGTCGGGAGCTTTGGATTTTTGTTACTATAGCAACAGGCCATACATAACAGCTCATTCTCGCCATTTTGTCTTCAATTCAATGATCGCTCTGAGTTGAGTCAAGATTAAACCTAAAATAAGGACTTCAAACTATTAAAACACAAGAAATATAGTCRATAACAACACCATGGAGGAAAAATTGAAAGATGTGAAGGCTTTTCTGATGAAAACCAGTAGCATTTCCAACAAAAATCTGTGAGTTTAGAAAACGATTCTCAGATGTTTTCAATCTCAACTTATTTTCTTGTGTCGAGTCCCTTGATCATTTTAGTCATACTAAATGTCGTTTTATTGTTCTAGATATGATCATCTAAGCGATGTACTTTGTAAAATATTAGACGAAAGACCAAGCAACTGCGTTGGTAAGGGAGCTTTTTTTTTTTGTTTAAATTCAACTTAAATCAAAGTAAAAGCTTAGAGCCAATTATAGAAGTTTTTGCGTTTATAAAATGCTTAAGATTTCATTATCTAAATCATTATATTATATTTTTTTCTCTTTTTGTTTTTCTTTACATTTTTACAGATGTTTTTGAAGATTACAGTCAAGAAATTAAAAAAGGGAACAAAGAAAAAGAAGAGGTATCAGCATTTATTTTTTCTTTTAATATATTTTTCATATATTGCAAACGATTTTTTTAAAAATCTAGATTGTAGCGTTGTGTATATAGTGTCTTTGTATCAAATAAAAAWTTATATATTTTTTGTAGGATGAAAGTGCAAAAGCTCAAGATAAACAGACAGCTGAAATGCAACAAAAGTTGTTTGAGGTATTTTAAAAGCAAATTTCAGTTTATTGCAGTTTTCAATATTCTACAATTCCAACATTTCAACGGCTTTTTGGGAAATTGTTTTTTTTTGGCTGCCGTCAGTCAAGAACATGAAAGGTACCAACTGATTATTTTTGATCGACTGCAGCGAAAAAATCAAATTTCAGACTGGAGCTTGCAACTTCTGAGTTTGCAGACTTTTGAAAACCTCAGTAATGCCCATTCACAAAAGTTGTATTTATTTTTGGCCACTGTTTTCAATTTCTATGCAACTGATTGAGACAATGTGACAAGTAATGATGGGTGAAATAGAGTAGTGCACTCACCCCTCCCCTCTGAGGTCTCAGGTTTGATTCCTCAACTCGACATCATGCTAAGTAGAGTTTGTTAGGTCTTTCCCTTGATTCAAGAGTTTTTCTCCAGGTTCTCTGGATTTCCTTTCCAAAAAACTTAACATGCTGAATTCGATCTGTGAGTTAGCACATGCCCTGAATTTGATCAAATCATAGTTTGTAGAATTGTTCAAGATTAATTTATTGGCAAACTATCCCTCAGAAAAACTACCAGTTTCCCCCCCTTGGTTTTATAAATACAGTATGACAGTTCCATTGAACAAAAGAAAAGACTAAAAATAATATTTTCTTATTAACAGAAAGAGGGGGACGGAGAAGGAGGGGAAGCAGAGAACGAAGAGGACATGGAGACACCCCTCCCTGACCTGATGAACCTTGAGTTCTATTTTGAACAAGCAGGAATTGGCTTGAGTAGAGAAGAGATGTTTAGAGTATTTTTAGCTCTCAAGCAGCTGGTTTTTACCAAGCCATTACAGAGTGTGCGCTTCTGGGGTAGGTGTACAATGCTAATTATTATGTAATGTAGAGTACTGTAGCATTATCAGTATTGTGTGGTTTTTTTCTGCTTGCAGTGGTTCTGGACATTTAATTAATARATCAAACAAATCCATATAGAAAAGTACACAAGCTCAAGCACTTTATTTGTAATTAATAAGTATATGAGTAATGTTTTGARAGTTCTTGTAATTATTAGATGAGCCATTAGGGGAGTCCAATTTAAGATTTTTAATAAGTACATCTAATAAGTACACCTGGTAATTATGAATTGCACAAGAAAGTGGAAGTGAAGGCATTGATCTACCTTTTTCCAAATTTTCTTCAAAAAATAAAAATCTAATTAAGGAAAATTCGTTGCATATAAAAATAAAAGAAAAATAAAAATAAAAATTAAATAAAAATTAAATAAAAAGTACACATTGATAGGGGAACTAGATTTATACATTGAAATTTCTAAAGGGGTGAAGGTGTCTTTAAAAAAGTTCCTTTTTGGAGGGGGGGAGGTATGGACTATACAATGACATTAATATGAATTTATAATAATTTGTTTTATTTTTCATAATATTATTACTTCTTCATGACAGGTAAAATATTTGGTATTGAAAATAATTACTACATAGCAGAAGTGGAATACCGGGAAGGAGAGGAAGAAGAAGAAGAGGAGGAAGAAGAGGTACCAAAATGAATAACTTGACGTAATATTAGCTRTGTGAAGAACAGGCTGTATTCACTGTTTAATGYGTCACCTCTCACCAATGCAATGCAACCTAGGTTCCATTTCTGCACTCAGTGTCCTATTTKGATAGAGTTGTTTGTTGGTTCTCTCCTGTGCTTTGAATGCTTTTTTTTGCTCTGGTTACTTTGGGTTTTACTCCTTTCTCCAAAATATACTTAGTTCTTAATTCCATTATACTATCAATCTTTGGCTGCCTGTTCAATTGGGCTTTTCATTGTCCACCTCTGGATTGTAAAAACGGATTACATTGTGACAGATAAMTGTAATTTGAATGATGCCTCTGAGTCTAAATTATATTGTGATGCTGTATTGTCATTAACCTGTTAGACATTTTGTAGGGAAGCACGGGTGGTGTAGCGGTGTGAGCWCTYGCCTCTCATCAATGTGACCCGAGTTCGAGTCCCGCCGGGTTCGGTGTTGTATATGAGTAGAGTTGTTTGTTGGTTCTCTCCTGTGCTTTGAGGGTTTTCCGGGTTCTCCGGTTTTCTTCCCTCCACAAAAATYAATCCTAAATTCCAATTCGATCACGGACTGAAGGCCACAGGTTTGTTAGCCACTGGCTATTAAGTGCCATCCTCATGAAAAAAGGAYGTTTTTTTTGCTGTTCACCCTGGATTGGTTTTAATGACCTATTAATAGAATGTGACATTATTATTAGATTGACACCTAGTCTAATATTCGTCTGATAATTTATCCTTGTCATTCAGGGAGAAGGAGAAGGTGAAGGTGAAAAGGATGAAGACAAGAATGAAGATGGTAAGAATCAGTCAACAAAATTGTAAAATGTTTAGTAAATGAAAAACAACCAAGAATTACATTGGAGTCTCGAAAATTTCCAGAAAATTTCCATACCTCCACCACAGGGGATATTTGTAAAAGGACCCCCCTAACCCAAGGAACTTCCAATTTTCTTCCATACAAGCTCTGTAATTTTGTTCTTTCTCTGGCCCTCCCCCCCCCACTCCCCACTCCTCCAGAATTTCCAATTTTCTCTGTGGTGGAATATGGATATTTTCTGGAACTATAAAATCCCTATTATTTTGAACTTGAGGCTGCATGACCCAGTGGACTTGAATCACTACAATTTTACTCTGGACATCTTGAACCCATTGATCGATGTAGTATAACAAAAATTATAGTAGCTGTKGAGTCAGGATTTTTACTAAGGAGATCAAAACTGGGGTAAACTGAACCAAAAAAATAGAGATGATCTAATTATTTTGTGGTTTCGTAATTCGTACTTGTAATTTATGGGGTTTTAGTAAATTAAGGTGGTTTGGACAAACYGYATACTGCTGGCAWGTGGTTATTTGACTCACTAAATTTSRGCTACTGGAATTACCAGTTGTTAACTGGCCTACAAAGTGGTTGGCCTCATTGTTTAATATCTTATTATTTTGACTTAGATGAAGAAGGAGGTGAAGAGGATGACACACCAAAGTCAGAGTGGAAGCCCCCRGCTCCCATTCCTAAGGAAGAGAACAGAGTAGGGACCAACAAGAAAGTGTACTTTGTCACCACTGAACGTAAGTGATAATTAAATGTTGGTTTGTAAACTGTGAGGCACATGACAAACAAGGTGTTGTATATTGAGTGAAGCTTTATGTTTTGTTTTTGTTTCTTTAATTTATGTTGTTGCTTGTGCTGAATTAAAATTTAAGTTATCACGCAACATGTGCAAATTCCCCATTCCTCTCTTTCTCCGGAAAGTTAATGAAAACTGCTTTTAATGAATAGTGCTGAAGTTATACAGGCTATAATAAGTTTTTAAATTTTTTTTATTTGCTTGGTGGGACAAATTGCAAGCACTCCACTGTT